AAATTTAAAGAGAAAGAGAAAGATAAAGAAAATTAAATTTTATTTATGTCTGCTAGACGTGGACTATTGCAATAAAGAGAAAGATATTTTCTTCTTGTATTTAAATCAAAAGAATTTTCTTCGTTTTTTAGCTTTCTGTTTTTGAAATCAAAAAAGTGTTTAAATCAAACTCTTTGCCGACTGAACAGGCAGAGAAACCTTTTTTATCACGTGACACCCTTCAATATCTGTAATATATTTATAAAACTACAATAAAGTAGATTGTTTTCTTGATAAGCGTGATGCGTCTTTAATACTCAGAAAAAAGAAGGGCTTCAGTCGTTGGTTTCCATTCAATTACAGTAAACTCTCTCTAAACTGAACACTGCTGGAACCCGCAAATTGTCTGTCTTGTAGAAAGTCAAACAAAATTGCTGAAGAACGACAGGAACCTTGTTCAGGTGTCCGTCTTAAAGAGATGTCGCTTAGGTGAGTTGTCTGTAAAAGCTACTGAATTGTGGTGATTTTATTATGTACATTATGGCTCTACCATATTTTGCTTAAAGAAATCAATGGCACAAACGCGTTTCAGTTCTCGGTCGTTATTGGTTATGATTTGAAGAGCTAGGATAGATTAAAGAACACATTGTCTAAACAATATATTGAATTTCTCGATACCATTTTAAAAATGTTGTTTCGGAACCAGGATATGATTGGCTAGTTTAGCAGGTGTGGCAGGTGAATACCGCCCAATATAAACCTGTTGACTTTTCATGCCCTTCCATTTCATTGACGCATGCGCAATTTCTCATTTAGAAATTATCTAACCAAACAAATCTTGAAAGGCTAATTTTGAAAGCCGCTATGGTTATCTGTGGAAAGTTTACACAATCGCAAAGAGTGGGAAAGCGAAGGCAGTGGCGCACGATCGTAAATGAAGGTTGGCAACTTGAGTAATATCATGTGGTGACTCGATTTTGTTGTAACCGGTTAACAACCAAGTTCACGTCTAACGCCGCAAAATATTTGATATGCGAACCTCAGGGTTTTCATGACAAGCAAGGACATTTTAATTTTGGGGATTCTGCAATACTTAAGGGCCTCTTTGGAAGTTGGCGTAATATGTCTATAGTCATATGTTTTCAAGAGCAGAAGGAGATGATTCGCAAACGGCTGTCAAAATGTGTCTTGGGTTTGGTTGTCGTAAACTGTTGTTTCTATTTCATTGTTTTTTACTTAAAGTTCGACCCGTTCTCTTTCGGCGAAGGAGATCTTCCATTTGCAGGGCAGATGTTACTTGAAAACGAAGCAAGTGATGGACGAGGGTAAGTAAACATTAAAAAGAGGGAGATCAGAAAGTATCAACCCTTTCTTACGATTAATTTCAAAAAGGCCAACAGGTCTTTCTTTGTTCAACGTAATGACACTGGAACAAAACTTACGCTGCAGCATTCCTATTTCGACAATAAAACATGCTGGACATGTACTGGACATAATGTACAATTTATAACAACAATCATAACACAAAAGCTGATACTCTTTGGATATATCTTTTTCAATCCGCAACTTTTTCTTTCCGGGTACAAAAATTTCCACGTCCAACCGTATCCGTATTCATAGCGAGTTTGCGCGCGACACGTATCCGGATTCACTCTAAGACCCAGCTAGGCCGGGTTATTCAAAACAGGGTTAATGCGAAATTTGATTTCAGATATGAAAGCTTGAGAAGCAAATTCAGTTTTATTCTTTTTGCCTACAATTTGATGATTGGCTGCTCTAAAATGTAGAGAGAAAATTATCCGGGAAAATGCTTTTGAACAAATAAAAGCAAAAGAAACCCGGGTTTAATTTAAACCCTTGGTTAGCGCTAATCGGCCATTGAACAACTGGGCACTCCCCTGATAATATGTAGATTTAGTCAGGGCTAAAAGCGAAGCTCTCTTTAATATTTATAGTTTACTCTAAATATAAAATCATATAATCCTAAAGAAACTGTGAAGACAAAAGAACGGTAAAAAACAACGACAATAGATCTAATTAGCAAAAAAACAACTTTGCACGTGCAGCCCACTTTTTTCTAATTAGCAAAAAAACATCTTTGCACGTGCAGCACACTTTTTTCTAATTAGCAAAAAAAAAAACTTTGCACGTGTAGCACACTTTTCCTTGCCGTTGCTTTGCACAATTAAAACGTGAAACTTCCTAGTTACACCCAGACGTTTTGTGGAGGAATTGTTGTATTCCTGTTCAATTTGGTTTTTCACTGCCGCTCATTTTCACCTTGGTGGCCGCTAGCATTTCTCATTTTCACACCGCCGCTATAAAATTTTCATGTTTTTCTTCCAGTTATATTGGTCTCAGTTGTTTTTTTTTATTTCTCGCTCTAGCTCTTTCCCTGTTATCTACGTTAATGTAGACATTAGGATTTAGTCAAAAGAAAGACTAGTAGCATTTCGGTTTTGTTTTTTGTTTTTGCTTTTTTTTTTCTCTCTCTCTAAAAGTCCGAGTGGCCATGCGATTTACCGCCGAAACGAGAGAGGTGCTTGAAATGCAAAATGTTACATCAGCTTACATGAAGGGACGGACGATTACGTCACAACCAAATTTTCTTATCCATGGTGCTCCGCGCGCAAGAGCTCCGCTGATATTGGCAACAGTGTACGCGTCGTACGCGTCGCAAAGAGCGCGAAATTTGCGTCTGGCTCTAAAGAACTGGGCTCAATCTTGTTACGTCACTGGCTAAAAAAGTATCCGGATTTAGTCGATTTAGCGTCAATACGATCTCGGATTCATAGCGCATTCAAAAATCTTTACTCTGGAGAGCGGATTCAAAAAGTGGCGGATTTGTTTGCCAGATTCACTGGATACGTGTAGACGGAAGCCGTATCAGGAGAGAAAAAGTTGCGGATTCAAAAATAGCCGGATACGAGTGGACGTGGCTTTAGAGCAGCTTTAGAGAGGTGCCCTTGCCGGAGTGACCATGTCCTGCGGCGTACGCCTTATAAACGATAGCTCAAATACTACTTAACAGCATGTAAAACCATGTTATGAAGAAGGTAGGATGTAACATCCCCCACGTACCCGACTAATGAAAAATGCGTGAATTCCCAAACGCGAGAAATTACGTGCTACATAGTTTGAACTTTACAGCCTCTTATTATATTATTATTTTTAGGTGTTCGCCTAAAAAGAGCGTCGTTTTCCTTAAGACGCACAAAACAGGCAGCAGTACGGTAACGAACATTTTAAACCGGTTTGGAGACAAAAACAATCTTGTATTTGTTGTCCCAACTCAAAAATACAACCGTCTTGGATGGCCTTGGTTATTTCATGAAGATTATATGATTCACTATAACCACACTAAACCCAACATGCTTTGCAGTCATGCGCGTTATAACCGCGCAGTCCTGGAGCGGGTGATGCCAAATGACACGGTGTATGTTACCATCTTACGGGACCCAGTCAGGCATTTTGAGTCCACTTTCTCATACATGGAGTTTAGCGATATATTGGGAATATCAAATGAAACAGATCCTTTAGAGACGTTCTTCGACAGCCCAAATGATGTTTTAGTTAACTATGTATTGACGAAGGATCTCAGAATAAACAGCGATCGCTTGAAACTCATTCGAAATGGTATGTTCTTTGACCTGGGAATGAAAAGTAATGATTTTGATGACTCAGCAAAGATTCAAGCAGCTATTCAGAGACTCGACAATGAATTTGATCTAGTGCTCTTGACAGAATATTTTGAAGAGTCTATGGTGATGTTGAAAAACCTTCTTTGCTGGAGTACAGAAGACATGATACACTTTAACCTTAATCAAAGGCACCAATCAGAAAGAAGAAATATTTCATCTGATCTGGCCAAAAAAATTCATCAATGGAATAGAGCCGATACTGCCCTTTATGAATATTTCAGGGACGTGTTTTTGCGGAAGTTAAACGAGCAAGACGAGGATTTTTTTCGGGATGTTAATGATCTGAAAATAAACAATGAAGTTATGCGTGATATCTGTTTGGAGTCAGTCTCAGAAAACGATGAAAGTTACCAAGATACCGGTATAAAGGGATTTCACGCTCGTCAAAATCTTACTGAGCCATTAAAAACAACTTGCGAGAAAATGACTTGGAATGAAATAAGATACCTAGGTTATTTTAGGTACAAACAGAAAAGGTTGCTTGCTACCACGAAACAAACAAACACACTCTGGGAATATTTTAAGCACTGGATTCCTAAGTTGAACTAAAAGATAAGTTGAATCCAGCCAACGACAGACCTGAAAGCCTTGTATAAAAATTTGCCACTTTAAAAAATAAAGTAAAGTTAAAAACCTTTTCTGTTTTATAAAGCAAGTACACAGGTTTTAATTAAGCTACTTAAATTAAGTTTCTTTTAAATAAATGATCAACTGTTAACAAAATGACGGCAAATGTTTAATTCTGTCAGTTATCAAAGTTTGAGGTGGAAGAGCATGCGCAGTCGTTCACCACTTTACCGCCTTTTAAACCGGTTTTTTTGACAGGGGAACCCCATCATATGACCACCTTGTTACAAGATCTGTCCTGGTGAGAACCTCATTTTCCTGCAAAACCATTAATCTTTACGTTTCCATATGTTCTCAAACAATGAAACATAAAACATAGCGGTAATGAGCACGAAAACAACTCTGCACGTGCTGCACACTTTCTGATTACTATACCTTTCTCTTGCCGTGCGTCCTGCAGCAACTACGATGTGCAATTCTTCATTCCAAAGAGGACATGAGCACACAGCGACAACAATTTTTTATTTCTCTGTTTAAACTTGAAAGTGCTCCCTAAAATCATCTCTACTGAGGAAAAGTCGTTCACCACTCAGCTCCACTCATAACAAATTTAGTGACGGGGAATAATTTTAATGATGTTTAAACGAACGCAAAGGCATTTTGTTATCACCGAACATTTTCAAGTTTTCATCGTCGTTTTTGGTAAGTTGAAACTTTGACATTACCTGTTCTGTCGTCAAAATCTTGCTGAGTTACAAAATGAACGAAAGAGAGAGTGCTGTTTTATACCCCGATATTTCGGAGTCTAAGAGTTTGTCGTTTCAGAAGCCTTGCAGCTCTTCGTGATCAGAACCTTTGGACTCTTATGGGTCGCATTTGCACGATGGGATTTTACTGAACTTGAGAAAAACCAGCAAGAAATCCCAGTGGAAAAAATATCATATGCTACAAATGAATCCCGCACCTTACCAGATAGCGGATAACTTTCATGCCAGCACGAAAACCATCCCGGATAGGACTTTTGTTTACACATAAGAACGGTGATTTCAGCGCGAAGCAGCGCCTGGCCACGCTTTTCTCTAAAGTGAAGAATTACATATCGGACAGGTGTTTACGCTGCGCCGGACAGCTTTTCGTGTAGGTACGAAAATCTATCCGCTCTCGGCTAAATCATGCCGCCTTTCCTCGAGGTATCAGATGAAGAAACTGTTTCATCCAACATCTCCGATGTATAAAATTTCTAACTGTAATCGCTTTACTTCTACGTATATTTGTGACGACATTCTATCTAGGGGCTTCATTCAGTGGCCGCAGAAAAAGAAAGATAAACTGTCCAAAAATATCAGGAAACCCGCACTGTTAGCCTTTTTTCTCTGCTGTTTTAAAGATTATTCTCGATCGGTTTGTAAGGCTAGCTGAGCGAAAAGGCCTTAAATTTCCTGGAAACTATTAGTATAAAGTTTGTCTATAATAATATTTTATTAAGAATTAAAGAAGGAACGTAAAGGTCGTTAAAAAGGGGGCTTTTTCTCTTTAACCTTCCAGCCCATCCCGGTGGCTACAAGTGGAAAATATTTTCGCGCCATTTTAACCCAGAGTTGGCGCGTGCTATTTGTGGATTGTTGATTGGGTAATATCTGTCACGTGATGCCTGAATTAGTTCAACACTGGGTAAGTAAAAATGTCGGAACAGACAGGGGAAAAGCGTCAAATGAGCAATAAGCAGAAAATATCGCTTTGCTCAACTACTGTTTTTACAACTTTGCTCTTTTCATTAGTCAACGACTCCTTAGGTTCATATTTTAAAGGTAAGCTGGGGTATTTCTGGACTTTTTGACGCTTTCTGCATCTGTTCTTTTCAAAACTTAACACAGTTTTAGGTATGGATCAGCTGATCGCTAAAAAAACTAGACTTCTTAAGCGAAAAACTGTAAGCTTTTAACCGTCAGCTCATTACTAAAATGCCAATCCATCTGTTACTTTTTCGTATTTATTTGCATCTTATTGAATAAGATTAATGCATGTTCAGTAAAAGCTGGACGTATTTCTACCGTGTAATAGGGTTTATGGGTTAATTTTGCCTAAAGTTTCTTGGTTTCGTGTTTTTCAAAAAGAATTCGGCTTTCTTTAGTTTTTAGACTTGTATGTTTTGCATTAACGTAAGTATATTTTGTTAGGACTTAATGAAGAGAATTAAGCTTAATTCCTTTCTATGAACAAAGTTTAAATACTGTTTTTTTTACCTAAATGCAAAATCCCACTTAAAAACAACAGCATCAGAGTAAATCAGTTTCTCCGTTTATTTCCTTTGTTTTCAATTCTACTGGTTTAATATAATTATTCGTGTCTACCATCAACAAAAAAGGGCTATTGGAGTAAAATAGTTATTCAACTGATAACATTAGTCTTAGAGCGCTTTCCAAAAGTCAGAACTGGCCAGCCTGACCAGTCATTTTGATAAAGAAATGGGCTTTTTCAAAGAGTTGTTTTTAAAAGAAAACCATCTCCTTTGTGGATACTTTTCAGCATTTGAATAAGCTCGCTAGATATTCTTGATTAAAAGTAAAAATCTCGTTACGACCAGAATGGACTGGCCGGTCAGTTCTGACAAATAGAAAGCGCTCTTAGAATAATTATTAGGAACAGTTGTCGTTTTTTAGGTTCACCACTTATGAGAGAATTTGTAGATTAAAATTACAATAACTCCACCAACTGTGCCTCACAACCAGCCAGGACAGTGAACTTGACCTTAGCTTAAACATGAAGGTTTTTTGAAATAAGGTGAAATCACTCTATATATAATACTGTGTTACGTTTTATATTTTAAGACTGTCAAGATCCACTAATCTCAATTTCCATATGTTCTCAAACAATGAAACATAAAACATAGCGGTGAATAAAATGAGCACGAAAACAACTCTGCACGTGCTGCACACTTTCTGATTACTGTACATTTCTCTTGCCGTGCGTCCTGCAGCAACTACGATATGCAATTCTTCATTCCAAAGAGGACATGAGCACAAAGCGACAACAATTTTTTCTTTCTCTGTTTAAACTTGAAAGTGCTCCGTAAAATCACCTCTACTGAGGAAAAATCGTTCACCACTCAGCTCTACTCAAAACAAATTTAGTGAAGTGGAATAATTTTAATGATGTTAAAACGAACGCAAAGTCATTTCGTTATCAACATTTTCACGTTTTCATCGTCATGTTTGGTAAGTTGAAACTTTGACATTACCTGTTCTGTCGTCAAAATCCTGCTGAGTTACAAAATGAACGAAAGAGAGGGTGCTGTTCTATACCGCGATATTTCAGAGTCTAAGAGTTTGTCGTTTCAGCTCTTCGAGATCGGAACCTTTGGACTCTTATAGTTCGTATTTGTACGATGGGATGAGCAAAACCAGCGAGATATCCCAGTGGAAAAAAGCTTGTACGCTACAAATGAATCCACCTTACCGGATGGCGGATAACTTTTATGCCAGCACGAAAACCATCCCGGGCAGGACTTTTGTTTATGTAAGAACGGTGATTTCAGCGCGAGGCGGCGCCTGGCCGCGCGCTTATCTCTAATGTGAAGAATGACATATCGGATAGGTGTTTACGCTACGCCGGACAGCTTTTCGTGTAGGTACGAAAATCTATCCGCTATCGGCTAAGTCATGCCGTCTTTCCACATGGTATCAGATAAAGAAACTGTTTCATCCAAAATCTCCGATGTATAAAATTTCTAACTGTAATCGCTTTACTTCTACCTATATTTGTGACAACATTCTACTTCAGGCTTCATTCAGTGGCCGCAGAAAAAAAAAGATAAAATGTCCAAAAATATCAGGAAACCCGCACTGTTAGCCTTGTTTCTTTGCTGTTTTATAGATTATTCTCGACCGGTTTGTAAGGCTAGCTGAGCGAAAAGGCCTCAGGTTAAATTTCCTGGGAAGTATTAGTATAAAGTTTGTCTATAATAATATTTTATTAAGAATTAAAGACGGAACGTAAAGGTCGTTAAAAGGGGGCTTTTTCTCTGTAACCTTCCCGCCCACCCCGGTGGCTACAAGTGGAAAGTATTTTCGCGCCATTTTAGCCCAGAGTTGGCGCGTGCTATTTGTGGATTTTGATTGAGTAATATCTGTCACGTGATGCCTGAATTGGTTCAACACTGGGTAAGTAAAAATGTCGGAACAGACAGGGGAAAAGCGGCGAACGAACAATAAGCAGAAAATATCACTTTGCTCAACTACTGTTTTTACAATTTTGCTCTTTTCATTAGTCAACGACTCCTTAGGTTCTTATTTTAAAGGTAAGCTGGGCTATTTCTGGACTTTTTGACGCTTTCTGCATCTGTTCTTTTCAAAACTTAACACAGTTTTAGGTATGGATTAGCTGATCGCTAAAAAAACTAAACTTCTTAAACGAAAAACTGTAAGCTTTTAACCGTCAGCTCATTACTAAAATTGAAATCCATCTGTTACTTTTTCGTATTTATTTGCATCTTATTGAATAAGATTAATGCATGTTCAGTAAAAGCTGGACGTATTTCTACCGAGTAATAGGGTTTATGAGTTAATTTTCCTGAAGTTTCTTGGTTTCGTGTTTTTCAAAAAGAATTCGGCTTTCTTTAGTTTTAAGACTTGTAGCTTTTGCATTAGCATAAGTATATTTTGTTAGAACTTGATGAAGAGACGACAGCTTAATTCCCCCCTATAAACTAAATTTTAAATTATTGTTTTTTTTTTACCTAAATCCAAAATCCCTTTAAAAAGCAACAGCATCAGGGTAAATCCAAGTTATTCTTATTAATTTGGAGAGCAGTTCCTCCGTTCATTTCCTTTGTTTTCAATTCTACTGGTTTAATATAATTATTCGTGTCTACCATCAACCAAAAAGGGCTATTGGAGTAAAATAGTTATTCAACTGATAACATCAGTCTTAGAGCGCTTTCCAAAAGTCAGAACTGGCCGGCCTGACAAGTCATTTTGATAATGAAATAGGCTTTTTCAAAGAGTTCTTCTTAAAAGAAAACCATCTCCTTTGTGGATACTATTCAGGATTTGAATAATCTCGCTAGATATTCTTGATTAAAAGTGAAATTCTCGTTACGACCAGAATGTACTGGCCAGTCAGTTCTGACAAATGGAAAGCGCTCTTAGAATAATTATTAGGAGCAGTTGTCGTTTTTTAGGTTCACCGCTTATGAGAGAATTTGTAGATTAAAATTACAATAACTCCACCAACTGTACCACACAACCAGCCAGGACAGTGAACTTGACCTTAGCTTAAACATGAAGGTTTTTTGAAATAAGGTGAAATCACTCTATATATAATACTGTGTTACGTTTTATATTTTAAGACTGTCAAGATCCACTAATCTCAGGTCATGAGGACAAGTTTTTTTGGTTTACTGCATCATCAGTACACTCGATGTCAGTTCAACCTAAACTGTCTGATGGTTGGTGTCCTGTTGTCACAGATGACAATAGAGAAGAATACGTAACGGTAAGATCAACAAAAGTCTATAGTTAAGTACTAAGTAATATTGATTATTTTTGGCCCAAAACATATATGTGTGGGACTTATCTAACTAACTGACCATACCACAGAGACAACAACATATACTGATTTGCATAAATTCTATTTTTAGGTTGATTTTCAGTTTAAAGTGGCTGTGACTGGTGTTGTTACACGAGGATATAAGAATAACTGGGTAGAAGCCTACCAGATGGAGTATAGTGATGATTATTTTATCTGGATTAGACTCTGGCCAGGAGAAGATGTGGGCGGGGTAAGTTTGATTTAGTCCTGGTACAAATACTTTATTGCATGAAGATTAGGTTAAGCAAGGTGTAGTCAAAATCTATAGGATGTTCTCACAAGAGGTAAATCCCAGGCAAAAATCAATTGCAGACGTTTGACTGATACAAGCTCTTGCTGTTACGAGTTCTTAGTACTAAAAGGTAATGTGCTGTGATTACCATACCCCCCCCCTCCCCCACCAGCGAGGCATGAGTTTGAGATCATATAGAAAAGAGAAGGAAGATGCACGAAAAGATGTATCGTCGTCTTATTGTAATTAACAGCAAGTTATATTTAAATTTTAAGTTTGTTTAATGATGTATGACTCCGGGACAGTGGAACCTCGAGGTAACGAAGGGCCAAGGGACTGGCAAAATTAGTTCGATATAACGAGGTCTCGTTATTTCGAGGTTCTTTTTCGTATATTTTACCATTACTGGAGTAAAGAAAATCGCTCGTCATACTGAGGACTTCGTTATATCGAGGTTCCACTGTAAGCTGATTTTTGCCAACAGTTCTCATCAACATAAGTTTCATTTTCCTTTGACAGTTAAATCTTTGGGGCAACACAGACGCTGAAAGTTTTGTAATCCACTGGTTTACTCAGCGCTGGAGAGCAAGGTATTTCAGAATCATACCGAAATGGTATAATGGCAGGCCGTGTTTGAGGTTTGAACTTTTTGGATGTGATGGAGGTTAGTAACGATTCTTATGTCGGCCTAGCTACTTGTACAGAAAATCTATTGGTTCAGACCTGAAAATACTATGGCCACTATATTCTTTAGCTATATAGGGTTTTACCAAATTGACCCCGGCGGATAAATCACAAACTAGTAGACAAGTGGCATGAAAACCAGCTGCTTTATCCGCTGAATTGACTTTTACCAAGTGGATAGCCGCACTACATCCACATTTTGAACAAACAGGGCTAAAAGTCAATGCTGCTCACCCTTTTTCAAAGCAAGACTCGACCCATGTGATTCCATAGACCCTAATAGGAAAAGACCTTGCTTGACTTGCTTAGTGGCCCTGAAAAATATAACGCTAAATCCTTGGTTATTTATAAAGATAGTTTGGTAAAATTTGGTCATTTCACGTCGCAGTTGTGCAGGGACGACCATGAAATTTACAAGTCAGAAGCAGAGTTGTTGTTTTGCTCATTACACCTGTAGCTTTTTTATGACGTTTCTGTTGTTTCCGTCGCCGTCTTAGAAGGGACCTTACAATCCGGCAACGGCGACGTCCATGAAAACGTTACTGCAAAATAGACTCGGCATCCTTTCAAACCATTTCGCGATTTTGCCAAGTCGCCCTGTTACTTACAAGAAGGGAATTTAGGTTGGAACTGAAGAGAGGGGACCGCGCCCGAGCTCAGACAGAGATGGTAGAATTTATTGTCTTGCCGTTCCCGTCCTCAAAAAAAAATTAAAATTTGGTCATTCCACTTTGTAGTCGTTCTGGGTCGGCAAAGAAATGTACAAAAAAGCGTATGCATGTGCAGAGTTGCTGTTTTGCTAACTAAGCCTATTGCTTTTTGACGTTGCCGTTGCCGTTGTCGTCGTAGTTTAGTTAAGTCCCTATTATCTAAGGAGAACCAATCCCTTCCTCCCCCCCGCAGGGCTTGCTTGGAAAAGCCATGGGGACGAGGTTGAGGGAGAACCAAGGAGGTTTGATTGATCTTCATCCTGAAAGCTAAACTGAGTCACTATCGTTCTATTTGCCACCAGGTTTGAGACAGGCTATGGGATTCAGTGAAGCAAAATTTGGTCCCAGGAGTAGCATGATCCCACCATCATTAGGGAATATGTGGGATATAGGATACATTTACAAGGGTATCGGCCAAAACCTTGGATGGTCACCGGAGAAATCAGGCGGTTGGATTACCGACTTTGATGTTTATCTGGGGGCACTGCACGTGGTCAGTGGATTTACTATAGAAAAGTGTCCATCAGTACGTCCTTGTTCGCCATGGTATGCGCTCTTCGGGACAAAAAACGTTACTCTTGCCAGCGACACCAGATTTTCTGAAGAAAACTATGTATATGAAGGGCCACGTAATTGGATCTGGTATACTGCCGAAAGTGTGGTAATTGTGGAATGTATTGTTGGGTAGATATTGATAACCACTTATTCTGAGTTGCTCTATTCGCAGTTATTGGTGTCACAGTGAGCTTGCGGCCCGTTACTGATGTCCTGGGTTCTTATTCAAAGCTCTCGGCCTGATGACGAATAGAGAGAAAGCATTTCTAGTGAAATCAACGGGGAAAGAGTTACTAAATCCTTTGATAATGATATTTACAGTAAACGAGGCTCCGAATCCTACGATAGAAAACTTTTTTTTCACTTACAATACCTTTACTTCACATAAAAGACAAATAAGACAGACTTGGGAAACAACTTTTTACACCAATTACAGTCAGGTTTACCCTCACACTAGAAGAAGAATAAAAGCTGTGTCTGGTTTGCACTTCAGACCAAACTAAGCGAATAAAATGGACGATAAAGAAAAAAAAATACTAATTATAATGATAATACTAATGATAAAAAAGGGGGAAATTTCAATGTAACAAAAATAAATCTAGGCTGCAATATCACAAGATAAAAGAAAAAAAGATTCATGCCTTCGCTGAAGGATAGGAAACTTATGAGTATACACAGGAAGGGAGGCCATGGAAATATTTTGTCGAGTTCCAACACTGAACTTGGACGCCGCCAGCGAGCTCCCCGCGATCAACCGGGACGATTTGTCACGGGATTCACAGCTTAAATCGCTCGAAAAAAACTTCCAACTCCATCACTTTAAAAAAATTCCATGATGGAATCAAAAGCTTGTATGCTAACAAATCCCCCCATGATCCTAGGATTCGAAACCTCATTTACTTTAAAATTTTTAGTGATTTATATTTATAATTATATATGGATCTTTCTTATTTGTTTTCTACCATTTCAGCGCTATCCAGTTATAGAACAATTGGAAGCAACTGGCCAGAGATCAGTGACTTACCTCTTTGAACCTGGTTTTGGCAATGTTATCAGTTTTATGATAGGTCATTTTGAAACATCTCCAAGGACTGACCCGAAACTGGCCGATCTTTGTCGTGACATTAGCTACGATTTTTGTTTTCGAGTGGAGGTTTATGGAAAAGACTTGGGTTTGTACATACGTGCACTTAAAGCTGTGTGAAATAAGGAAGATATATATACTCCCTCTAATCAATAGTAAACACGGCATTTCATCGCAATCTGCTGGAAGAGAAATGTACTCCATGGCCTAATTCCATTAAGTAAAAAGTTGAAATGACACTCGTTGAAACTTGTGAAAACTCTACTTTCGTGCCTTTTTTGACTAGATATGTTTTTGCTTATGCAAGCACAACGGCGATAGTAACAAAATGTCGAAAACTAAAATTGTCTAAGTAAAGCAAAACAACAATGTCACTCGTGCATCAAACGTTTTGGTACATTTTGTTTTCGTTACTGTACGACTTCGACGTAACTCTCGAAGGTAGACGTATTCAAAGAATGAGGCATAAACACATTACTACGTTTCTTTTATTTGTTTGTTTGTTTGTTTATTCTGTTTTTGCTTTCACTCTCTTAACTTGCACACGCTACCTAAAAGGGTTATTCGACCGCATTTGACAAATATTGAACACTTTTCCCCAAACTGTGTTTCGCGCATTGTTTATGTCCTTCTAAAAGTTATTGCTGTCCTTTTCTTTTCAGAATGTAAAGCGCCTCTTGGGGTGGAGCGGAGCAATATTCATCCGCATGGTGCAGTTCAAGATGACCAAATGACTGCAACATCATTTGATATAATGTATCCTGCACACTATGGTCGACGTGATGATTATCTAGGATGGTGTCCTAGTTCAGCCATCATGGAAGACCCAGTAGCTGCCAAATCACAGTACCTTCAAATAGACTTCATCAAAGTCAAAAGAATCACGGCTATCTTAACCCAGGGATTATTCTGGCTTAACAGTTCTGTGACGACGAAATACTATCTCTACTATGCAGTTGATCTTAGTGCATTCCATATTTTACGTCATGGACCAAAAAAAATGGTAAGAGACATTAAAATCTTTTCTTTTTGCAGTGTTCTTCTGACTTAGTTTATACTTTAATGCATTGAACTCTTTCTAAGAAGGACACCACAGCCAGGATAGTGTCAGGACTTTGAAAGAGACTGCATGACACACTCCAAGAGAAGGTTGACATGGATAATTATTTACATAAATTTCAACAAAGTTGAAATATATGTTGCGGTTGATTTTTTATTTCAAGTAATTTTTATTCTTCCCTTGTTTCAAATTCATTAGCATACTTACGATACCCAAAAACAATCTAAAACAGCCTCTAAATTTAGTTTTAAGGCTCATTTATTACGGACAGGAGATAAGGGACACTAGGACACTTGGTCCCGGTTCTTACGGTGTCGTTTTTAGAGCCTATCTCCGCAACATTTACTTGTTTGACCTTTACATAGAGCGATTTTTGTATGGCCTTGAAATGAAAACGCGCGAACGAAACATAAACAACAAACAAACTGAAATAGAGTGATTTGATTGGTTTATCGAACAGATACAAACGCTCGTGGCTTTTGGTTTGTTAAGCAAACGCTCAGGTCGAAAAACGTCATGTCCGAGAACTTTCTAGAAATCAACTGATACTTCGGTTTGATGTCATGCTGCAACACGATTGGCCAATCGAACAATGCCTTCTCTTTATTAGGGTTTCTTTGGCGGAAAAGCGAAGAGTCCATGTTTTGTTTTTCTCACCCATTGGTTGATAACTTAAAAACAAAATAACGAACACTTACCGAAATCGTTTTTGAAGGTCATACGCTAACCCTTTCATAAACTCTTCTATGTTTTGACCAGCTGTTACAGGGATATGTTGGCAATTCTGAAGATCACACCATCTGGTTTGATCCTGCAATTAACGCCCGCTACGTGCGTTTAAATCCACAAGACTGGTTCAACAAACCCTGTTTACGAGTGGAAGCGTTTGGATGTGATGCACTGGGTAAGTGCAGAAGACGGCAACCAAAAGAAATTATCACCCACTGGTAGCACGCACATTCTCCACACTGTGACTACTGCACTGATAACGTGATAGTTTTAACAATTTTTTCAGACGCGCTTCTCATCCGTTCACCATTTTGTTGAATACCGAGTACTCAAAAACTGCTAGGTTGGCACTACGTTGTCTTGTATGACGTCAACGATGGTATTTTTGCATTATACAGTCACTGAAATCTTATTGACTGACGTCAGTGATGGTATAATTGGTCAGCGCCAGATGGTTAAGAAGACAACAACCTGGGAACCAAAGCCGACCAGAAACGGAGAAATACTCTGAATGAATACAAATAAATAATATTCTAAACAAGACAAAAATAAGTCAACTTATATTTCTTTTAAACCGTTTCTAGAAACGATCTTCCACGTATACATAATTAAAAATTAATATTTTAGTTATTTATAACATAAAACAGACGAAATTAGTACACCTACCTGAACGATAGAGTAAGGTCAAAATAAGTAAGCAATTGTATACTGAAGAAACGTAATTTTGTTTATAGATTGTTTTCTTGATATGTATTATCATTTTCAATGTTAGAAGATTTTCGAGGTAGCCCTTGGCTGTTTTATATTCTGACATCAAACGAACCTAATGCTTTCACTATGCAGAATGTTACTCCCCCCTTGGGATGGAACATGGCATCATACAGGACTTTCAGATTTCCGCATCAAGATATACAGCTGCAGACGACAAAAACTGAGGCAGATTAAACAGCGTTGGATGGTGTGTAGATAATGATCGTTTACAATCCGCTTTTCCAGGAAAGGTACTGGATTGCTATTTGCAGATTGACTTCCTGGAACCACATTTGATCTACGGAGTAGCTACCCAAGGAAAGCAGCCACAAAACCCAGACGATCCAAATGAAAGACCAGAAGCTGTCACCTCATTCTATTTAAAGTACAGTTTTATGGGGAATGAGTGGTTTAGGTACCACACGGTATGAATCCTTTACTTTTGGTATCTTTAAAGAAAAAAGACGGTTAATTGTACTTAAAGGTGTGGACGTAGTTCTGAATCCATTTTACTTCTTGTTCCTTTTTAATCTTAATAACAGTTATTGAGAGGTGAATATTATGGCAATTCAGTGGTTCAATTCTGGCTGGACCCTCCTCTGATGACAAGACTAATTCGCTTTAATCCACAATCATCCTGGTCTTCATCGCACATGTGCATGAGGGTCGAGGTTTATGGTTGCCCCGAAAAAGGTAAGGATGTCACCTTGAGAATCTGAATGATCTTCCATTAAGCTGCCTATGTCATATTTAATCATTCATAACTTTGTTCACATTGGTTTTTTTTTTTTCTCAGTCCCTTTTAATCCTTTGTGGACGCGTGGAGTCGCCTTCCAGTCGTTCCATATGGAAGGATGCAGATTATGCCTTTTAGTGAACCCATTTGGCTTTCAGTTTTCAGTTTCGCACAGAGTAGTACTGTGCCCTTTATTCACCTCGACGCTTGATGAAATGTGTTTGAATGGGTTAAGCCCCGCTTAGATGATAATGTCACGATTAATGATAAATGTCAGTCTTTGATGCCAGCGCGCATGTGACAAATTTGCCCTTACGATTTGACATTTAGGTCTCATGGAAGTTGTATTTTGGTTATGTTACAAGAAGACAAGATAGTACTGGAGATGCTTTTCGTGCTATTTCAGCTTGTTTACCTATTTACCTAATATTTTATTTTGTGCTTTTTAAACAGATGTAAGAAATCTTGAAAAATACCATGCTATTGGTATGGAGAGTTTTGGGATCAGTGATTCACAGCTTTCCTCATCCTCACAAGCAAATAATTCACACTCTGCCACATCTTCACGTCTGAATCATCACATTGAGGGTGGAGCATGGATTCCAGAAAAATCCGATGGTTTACAGTACCTTCAGATCGACTTAGAATGGGTGATGATCCTGACTGGAATAGCAACTCAAGGGCATCCGAAGCAGCAGTATCGCACTTTAACCTACAAACTGAAGCATTCAATCAGCGGGGATCAGGCTTTCACTGACTATCCCCTGGTACGTATATAAATACACTATTTATGTACTCTTTTTCTCGTAATTCATTACATTTACCCTGTATAATTTACAACCTTCGCCATTAGTCATTTGTCTTCTTTAGAAATATCAGAGAGGTTGTTATCATTTCCAAGAGAGGATTGTGCATGACCGGGGAAGTCAAACGTTGTGGAAGGATCAACAGTTTATGAATCTCTTACCTTTCTGAGATGCCGTTTTGTGAGGATATTTCCCCAACAATGGTCAGGAAAAGCAGCACTAAGAGTAGAACTTTATGGATATGACGCCGGTAAAAAGACTGCATCTTAATTAAAACCTTTTTTAAGAAAAATAGAGAAATTTTTGACAGTACCACAATAGACCATATTCTCAAAGTTAGCTTTAACTTTGTCAGTGTTCCAGCCAGAAAATTCTGCTGCTTGAGGGCCAAAGTGGCCCCTACAACCCATATTTTGGGGGCCAGATATTTCAAGAGAGGGCCAATGTACCAGTATCTTTCTAATATGCAAAAGCGAAAAAACAGTTGGAAAGTTAAGGAAATGAAAATGGCAGTTTATTTGAAGCACAGATAGGGCATCCCTTTTTATACACAATAGAGAAAATTATCTTCGGTAATAAAGCAAACAGTACAATCAGAATGTAAGCAATAAAAATAGTAAGTAATTTTTTTCAGCTCATTTTCCACTTGACCATCAAGATCTGCTTCCATTCGCTTCTTCTGAACTGCTTCGCCTCCAACCACTTTTTCGTGACTTATTGAGAAAAAACTTCTGATAGACCTCGAAGATGAGTTTGTCAGGTTTATCCTTTTTTTAGACGCCATGACCCATGAGCTTCTGCGATATTGTGTACAAAGGTACAGAGTCGTTGTTCTTTAGATTAAAAATTCTGTTTAATTGAAAAATTATTGAGGCAATTAAAAAGGGAAAGGGCCATAACGGCCCTTGAATGCTTTTGGTGGGGGCCATCTCTCGATCTTTTGCCGGATTCTCGCAATGGCGCACTCTGGCTGGAACACTGCTTTATGCATGTATAGTTGAAGTTAGAGTGGTTTTCGTTTGAGTGTCGTAAAACCAAAACCAAAGTAATTACTCTGGCCAATCACATAGGACACAGACAATACATTGAACCAGTCAAAACTCGAAGTAATTACATGTGGCTGACGCAAAGCGCAGTCACAATTGGCTTTGGTTTTACTTCTGATTGGATGAAAAGGTGGCGCGAATCTTTTAAGCCAATCGCATCGTGTAGAAAGTGCAAAACCAATTACTTTTCGACACTCAAATGAAAACCGCTCTAAAACATTAAGCAATAGAGAGGATGACAACAATAAACAAACTTAAACAACGACGACGGCGACGGGAACAACAACGGCCGAGAGAATCAGTAGATTTATATCAGCAGAACAGCAACTTTGTAAGTACATCACGCTTTTTTGTACATTTATTTGCGTCTTTGCACGACTGAGATATGAAACTTCCTAATTTATGGAGCTGGTGAACACAACGCAAAAATGTTCTTCTTCTTTTTCTTAATTTAGATACGGTCCTTTCGCATTCAACCCCCGAAAATTCGCCAACATTTGAGTTCAGTTTTTAACTGACGTTTTCGATTTGTTGTCATCCAGAAATTTTGCTACCATGGTAACGTGACATAATGACTTGTTCTCTCTATTATTACCCTGGGTACCAGAGATTTGTTCTCGCGTGTGACGAGGAGCTTCGTCGGTCGCAGGCCGACACGTCTTCGGCCTTCGGCCGAAGACACGACCGAAACCGGAAACCGCGCATGAAAAGTCTCTGGCACCCAGGGTACTCTATTATTGGATTTGGCTTTCGAATGATCTGCATCTTCAGATCATGCAACAGGTAATCCAGTTATTGTTTAATCGATGTTATGCTGCCTGTTCTTAGGATAATTCAGGATATAAAGGGACGATCAGTGTTTGGATAATCATCTAGCAGATATTCTTCTAGAAGTTACCATCCGTCGGGTTTTATTTTTGCTGTCTTGCAGTGTTTTTAGGCTGTACTTCGGCTATTTCTTCTTTGGAAAACGTGTGAAAGTTTCCACCGTTTTCTTCATCCTTCTTAAATAGCTGAGCTATCGCAACTTCGTTTTCAGGGCTTCTCGGTTGCTGTCACTTCTGTACTTTTGAGGTCATTATATATATATAGTAGGTAGGCATGTACACGATACCAGCTTAAGTGTTCTGTTACAACGTTTTTTCTAAGCCTGCTATTGGAAGATAGGACGTTATTCACTATCAGCCGGACCTACCGTGTACAAAGCTTCATCCAATGCAAATCTTAGTCTTCCAGGATACAGTCATCTCCTTTCAGGGCTTGGAACTGGAGCATGGTGTGCTGAAATACAAGATCTAAACCAATATCTTCAGGTGCAGTATAGGATGACAACTGACCAATCAAAATGTTAGGTGTTTTCTCGCTCACCAGCATGGCGTGCTAAGATACAGGATCTAGACCAATATATTAGGTGCAGTATAGGATAGCTAGCAACTGATCAATCAAAAGGTTAAGTGTTTTAATGGCGCGCTAAGATACAGGATCTAGACCAATATCTTCAGGTGTGATAAAATATTAGCAATATAGGTTAGCTACTGACCAATCAAAAGAAGAGGTGTTTCCTCGCTCACCAGCATGGTGTTCTGAGATGCGGGATCTAAATCATTATCTTCAGGTGTGATAAAACCGACATTAATTAGCAGTATAGGATAGCTACTGACCATTCATTGAAAAAGGTGTTCCCTCGGCCACTAGTTCTATTTTGTCCAAAGGTTACGGAACGGATTTAGCTAGTCAAGTTGACACAAGCTTCTAAAAGCAAAGTGGTGGAATTCAAAATAAATCTGTAATAAGGTGTTGAATATTCCTGCCAGGTTGATCTGAGAGAGGAAGTTGTCGTTACTGGAGTGGCAACGCAGGGACAGAAGTATTTTGACAGCTGGGTTTTGAATTTTACGCTGGCTTACAGTGAAGATAGGCGTTCATGGAAAGACTACAATGGAGCGGGGTATGATTCCAGACAGGTATGGATTTATTATCGCCGTAAAAGGTAGAAAACAAAGTAAATATACTTTTTTTGTTTTTCCTAGTCGTTTTTTTTAAAACAACTGTAGCTTATTAGGTTTACTTCAAGTCTTTTAACTTGCCGTGTACTTCGCACTCACGCGCGAGTTTAAAGACACGCACAAAGGCGGCGGGACGGGGGGGAGGGGGCGGTAATTTTAGCAACAGAGCAGCAATCATGGCTGGCTTAAGTCAGGTTATAACAGATAGACAAATCATCATAGCATGTTACATACTACGGCACTCTTGAAGATTTCCTCTCAGATTGCTCAAGTTATAAATCGACAACAACAACTCTGTATATAAGTACCAAAACACTAGGAAATTACTCTTGCTATCTGAGACCTTAACAATGATTTCAACGCTTGCATTACCATGTACTTGTTTCCCAGGTATTTTCAGGTAACCGAGACAGGGATACAGTTGTTCTTCACTTTCTCTCACTACCTTTTGTAACACGGTATTTGCGCTTTCATCCGCAAAGCTGGAATAACAAGATTTGCATGAGAGTAGAAATTTATGGTTGCGCACCAGGTACATTTTATACAAATTTCCTTTAATGATGTTTCTTCACCTAGTCAAAAGCGTCTTCTCTAGCTCGGTAGGTTTTTTTTTAATCGGAGTAATGTTTCCAAGGTTCTCGTTGCTTAGTTTAAGCTAAACAAATCTGGAGAAAACCAAAACAATATAGCAGTAAGAACAAAGAAACGTGGAGGGAGGGTGTTTCTTCAAGTCCGAACAAGATCGTCTTGAGGATGAAAAATAACTTAATCCGGTTTAAGTTGATTTCTTCAAAAGCTTATTAATTAGGGCTACTTTTTTAAAACTACAAATTATCAAAATAAAGTCATATGGTAAAGGTTATTTGAACCACATTTTTTTAGAGTCTGTCTCTTACTCTTCTTTTATCGATTAATCTTAGTTTAGTTGGCCTTTTTCAGGAAGAATCGGTGATTCAGACACAATTTTAGTGTGCATCTTCTTTATTTTCAGCTCTATCGGGTTGTGCCGATTGTAGTTCTCGTGCTAGATGCCTTACTCTCGTGGATAATGAGCCTCCACTATGTATTTGTAATCCTGAGTACATTGGAGATGGCAAAACTTGCCAAGGTAAATGACTTGTGTTGGAAAGAATTGTTTAACTGACATGTTTTAGAGCATAGAAAATGTCGAAATTTTTCTCTAGGATCTCTTGGATCCCGATGACGTCACAGCAAAAAATCAGACGCTGTAAACAACTGAATGAGCGTTAGGAATAGTGTTTATAAACACTTCTGTTGCAATGATTTTACTCTGTCAATGTTCCTGGAAAGGTGGCGAAAGTGGTTCGCTTCTTCCTCGAGTTATATATTAAGGCAATAAGCATGCGTCATTGGAGAGGGTTATGCTTTATCTTATTTTATCACTTAAAATGGACATTAACAACCCAACAGAAAGATCGACATGAAATCAATGAAGTTTTAAAATTTTGGGCTCAGTGGCCTGTAAGTCTGCACAACACCCACTGATGGAGGACAGAAAGATAAAATGATCTGGACTGTCTTTCTAGTCAGCATTTTGGTGTAATGTGTGAATATCTGCGCTAATACACCTTGTGTCTGAATCACACAATTAGACCGAGATGAATGTTCAAGTCCAATCTATCCTTGTGACAAGAATTCAGATTGTGTAAACACGTTGGGAAGTTATACCTGTGAATGCAGATTTGGATATGCTGAAAAAAACTCCGTTTGCACAGGTAAGGCATTCATGCAACAATCGCTTTCAACAGTTTAACCGCTGAATGATCGTAGGAGTCACGTTTGTTAGTTCTAATTTTCTTTATGAGGGTGTACCGTTGAAATAAATTTGAAGTTGACCAGTGCGACACCAAATACGCGAAAAGACCCATATTAAAATTATCTTAATCACATCTAGTTATATATGTATACAAGTATTTTGTCTTTCTTGTTCTTTTTGCGTTTGTTTGTCGCTTCTGGCCGTTTTCCCACCCAACTTTTTAAACTTTATTTACAACGTCTACAAATATATGAGGATCACCCCTTGTAAGGGAATCCAAGACAGTCTTGGATTCTGGATTCCACGTCTTGGATTCGGGATTCCAGGTACTGGATTCTGGAATCTTTGTCAGTGGAACTTGGATTCTGGATTTCAATGGTTAGTAGGATTCCGGATTCCTTGAACTATATTCTGGATTCGAAAGCCCAGGACTGCGGATTCCACAGGAAAAAATTCGCTGGATTACGGATTCCACGACAAACATTTTCCATGGTCAGCTTATCAACGTTGATTTTTCTGAAATCTGGAAGATGGAGAACGGGCTTTTTTGTTGTACTTCTTCCCATCGAGCTCACTTTTAACGTTTGTGTTTAGCCTGAAATGTGCATAACTTCCTGTAGGTCATTTATCTTATCTTATCTTATCTATTTACTAATTCATTAAATCAAACGGCCTTCTATTCCCCTAGATATTGATGAATGCAGTAATCCAAAGCGTTGTCCATCTTACACTACATGCATAAACCAAGATGGAACATACAAATGCGATTGCGGCCAGAATGGTGTGCAATTCGATGAAACTAAACTCCCAGGACAAGCATGTGTTGGTAAAATCTTTTTTTCACTTCAATTCAAATAGAGACGCCACTAAACCTTAAGGCGTGTCCAATTTATACAGTAGATACAAACGACAAAAAATTCTCTCATGATACGACTTGTTCTTTTTGCAAATAACAGTTTTTACTAAAAACTACATCAATCATTGGATAATGCAATTCTAGAGCTCTGATTGGCTTAGCTGTCATCGTATATGAGCCATTATACCATGCTCTACAAATATGGTAACTGTGCGCGTCCGCTCAAGATTAAAAACAAGCTGAAAATCGGTTATTTTTACAAATAAAGTCGGGAAGAATTCTCGATATTTTGTGGGCGTTTTCAGTTATTCCTCTCGCGCCTGTTGGATATGAGATGATTATAGCCAACGAGGTACGTAACGCCGAGTTGGCTATCTACCATCTCAAATCCAACGCGCACTCGTGACATAATTGTTAAATAGTCTCGGGTGCGGATAATTCACCCTTTTGCAGCCTACGATCAGAGTTGACATGGGAGCCATACAAAGACCTTCATTACCCACTGGGCAATAAAAATGCGAAAGGACGAATAAAGGTTGACCGGTATCATGTTCTACATTTAGGTTAACGGATCAGTTTCAACGTGTTTTGGCTAGATCATTTATTTTTTTAATTCATGTACTCCAAGTTAGTTGTGATTGGTTGACTTAAATTTTAGTCAAAAGGCGTTTATTGGTCGACTCGTTTTGATGAAGCAATCTGGTTGGCTCTGCAACTTTACATTCTCTTTGCCAAGTAATAGTGGAATAAATCATGGTCAATGTTTCTAGTCATAATGAAGATACTGAATATTTGACTTTTTCCCTTGGCTTTCAGACATAAATGAATGTTGGACAGGTCCTTTTCCGTGCCACCGTCTTGCAAGGTGTGAGAACACCCATGGGTCATACAAATGTTTCTGCCCTCAGGGATACACTGGCAATGGAAGAGTAACTTGTGTTGGTATGCCTGTGCTATGACTAAGACTCATTTCCAGAAGCCCTTTGTATTCGGCAATATTAAGACCAATCATTTTACAACTTAACATTTCCTCCTTAAATATTAAGCTGCCTGGAAATTTGTTCTCCTTAGCTTCTCTTAAATTTGGAAAATTCGCATGCAAATGATTATCACCCACGAAACACAGTGTTTGTAATTCGACGAAATCAGTCTCAGAATGATCTGTGGATTAAGAAACGAGGCGCCGGCATCCAAGTTCAGTCTTAAGGTCGTCGGAACTCGAGATGAGTCCAGATGTTGAATGAAACACTATGCGGAGTGTTTGTTATGGCTTCCCAAATATGGCAATTAAACAATAGCTAGCTCTGTATAACGAAATTTCCAAGTCGATTCACAGCTAACAAAGCACAAAAATTTAACAATAATTTTAAACATCACCACAACTACATAACAGAAAAAAAAACTAGTGCACTTTATTGAGTGTCAATGTATTTAGCATGACAGTACTAATTGGGGACACTATTTTTACGTTTCCTTCTGGAGACGGGACCGCCATTTTAAGTGATCATCCCAGCCACGCAAAGGTATAGCCATTTGCAGGGCAAAAGCAGTACCTTAATTTCTCAGTCATTTTAAGACCCTGAGTGTTGGTCCGGCCACGGGAATCGAACCCGCCATCACCTGCTCTTCAGTCAAACGCTCTACCGACTCAGCTAATCCTTGTAATTTCAGATGTAAATGAGTGTAAAAAGGAACCCAGCCCGTGTTATCATGAAGAAAATACTTTTTGTGTAAACACGAAAGGATCATACCACTGTAAATGTAAAACTGGCTTTTCTCAAAAGGATAACAAGTGTGTCGGTGAGTGTGGTATTTTTTTCAAGTTTTTCCCTTTTGATTCCTTCCTGTGCCCGAACAAAAAGTTTATGGCAGGGGGATTTTATTTTTTCCTTAAAGTAAAGGAATGTCTGACCGGTTAGGGTTAGGTTGGCCATAATTACAAAAAGAGAGAACTTTTTTAATCAGTTAAAACTGAATCTTAAAACAGTAAAAATCACGGATAAAAAACGACGTTTCGACCGATCTTTGGTCACTTTCAAGTAAGTAAAAGAGTTAAAAGAATTAGCATATATATATGTGTAAGGTGTAAAAATATGTTAAGAACTACAAAACGTGTTTGAAAATCAGTGATAAAAGAGTGAAGTAAAGCATGCAGAAAAAAAAAACAATAGAATCTAATTAAAGGGCTATTTCAAAACTTTTGCACGAAGTGAGTCTGATTGTACATTGAGATGCACTAGAATTAGTTCCCTTCTTTAAAATGTTGATTGCACAGGTGACGAAGTCACCGGCATGGGAACGTTAAAAAATGGCAGCCAAGTCAGTACAATATATTTTTTCCACAGATCGAACACTTTCATTTCCTTTGGCGTTTTGTACAAGCTCTTCATTAGCCAGTCCAGCCTGATCACAACGCCACCACTGGTTTACCCATGGAATGACGTGTGAGAAACAATCGCAGAAATTCCATACCGAAGACCATCCCTACTCAGATCTCGGTAATGCTTCTGATTGGTCGTGCCGCGTAGGAAATTTACTTCAACTGATAAGTAGCCCTGACACGTCATCCGGTATGGAAGTTCCTGCGCTCGTTTCTCATACGTCATTTCACGCTTGGCGGCGTTTGTAATTGCCGGCTGTTTTGTCAGGCTAGAGCTACTTATTATAGATGTATTTTCACAATGTAAAAATGATGATGGGAACCGCGCGCTTTTGGTATTACCTTCAGATGATGACGAATGCAGTAGTGGTTCAGTTGAATGTAAATTGCACAGTGACTGTGTCAACACTATTGGATCTTACATATGCAAGTGTAGACAAGGATTCTTTAGAAATGGACCATACTGTATTGGTAAGCCCTGCATGATTACCACCTTGGACTGTTCCACTCTATTCTCAGCCTTTGCATAATTTTACCTCTCGAGGTAAATGACAACGCAAGAAAGAGAAAAAACTATATATTCTTCAATGTAACTAATACTGCGTAAACTTCAGCAGTTTAGCAAACCAAATCAGTAACTTGTAAATGCTGTTCAATAGGATACTTTTTAAGAGTCAATAAGAGGAATGACGGACGTATGGAGTATTTGAAGAGGCAAGATCATGGTATTGGTCAAGATTGAAGTCTTATAATCCAATACGTTTTTCCAACAAAACCCCTGCCCTATCTAGTAATACCATATATGACAAGCAACGGACATTAAAATCTTCAAAGAGTTTGTTTATTCTTCTTTCTTTTCAGATTTCAATGAATGTTATAGTGATCATGATAAGTGTGACGTCAATGCATTGTGCACTAACACCGCGGGCTCATACAAATGCTTCTGCAAAGAAGGTTATCATGAGAATGGAAACAGTTGTATAAAGTAAGATTATCATCAGTAACTTGAGGTGGATTTTTATTTTTTCCAAGAAAAAGTTTTACATAAGTGCTAACATCTAGCTTATCAGAGACAGTAAAGCCAATTCCTTTTTCTGTGCTGCAGAATCGCCAAATTAATTGCTGAGTAACCGCGCCTTTTATTATTTTGCAGGAAATTGCCAACAAATTGCCTAAAATAACGCGTTTTACCTCGCACTGTAACTTGTTGTTTATTTTTCTTTAATTTGCAACGAGAGATCAATTTCCGTTTTTCCCTGTGCAAGCGGCCAGCGTTTTTCCCTGCTAGCGGTACGACAATAACGCGATATTACTGGCGTTATTTTTTAATTGCGTGCCAAAAATTGTACTTGCAATATAATGATTATAAATGTCTAGTCTTGATATTTACGAACAAAGTAATCCACAAATGAAATGTCATTTAGTTTCTTGTTGTTACTGTTTTGTTTCATTAATATCATTGTCACTATCGTAATCATCATCATTACAATCATTATTATTTTTGGTCGTTGTTGCTGTTCTTTTTTTGTTAGAGACGGCGGATGATTTTAATTCACAGCAAGGAGATGCAAGGCTATAGATGAACTAGCGAGTGGACCAAAACAAAACGTCACCACCAAACTTTGCTTTCAAAGGCAAAGACGAATCGACAGAGCAGTGAAAGTTGACGGCAGCTTCGTCCGTTTAGACTTGGTCGTAGTTGTTTTAATGGTATGCACGGATAGTGAATGTATCCATTTGGAATGGGAAGACAATGACGTCACAAGCTACAGTTATGAGCACCAAAACAACGCAAATTCTATTCCTTACTGTATTAGTTATCCTTGTGTTGCTCGGTTAGTAGTTAATGAAGGATAGTGAAGGCGAAAGAAACGCAGCTATACTTCAACAATTCCATTGTTGTACTGACACATTTCTCTTGTTTTTCATTAGCCTGCGTAGCAAGCGTTTCCTCGCGAGGTTCGTCTAGAAAGCTGAGGCAAGAGCAAAAAAAAGTATGAAAATGACGGGGGAGGCGGAGGGGAAAGAAGGAACCTTCCCCTCCCCCTTCAACCTTTTTTTTGCTTCCGCTCTACCTTTCGCGCAATAACTCGATTGGAAACGCTTGCTACGCAGGCTAGTTTTTCACGTCCTTGATACTACTTTCTGCGACTGTCAGTCATATTCTTCTTAAAACCATGTCACACTGTTTGCTCTCTTAGTGTAAATGGTATTACTCTCTACTTGTTGTAACTTGCAGTCTTGAATGTCTTCAACCGCGATCATTGTCTTGACTTGCTGGCTGGTATGATGTGACTCGCAGTTCCTCTCCTGGAGCTACACCAGGGCAGGGTTTTTTGCCTGTTCTACAGGCCTGCAAACTGTGTATGCCAGCAAAAACTATTCTAGGCCAACTTCGCTTCCTTCAGTAACATCTCTGTTATCAATGCTGTAGTATTCTCTGAGGTGATCCAACACTGCTGCAGTGCTTTTGAGTTCACTGAATACCCTTCTTTCTGTAAAGATATATACGGTACTCATTGCTTATCAATCAAAGGCCAAAGGTAGTGCAAAAATTAAAATTTTCAATTTTATTTTTCACGCCTAACTTTTACAGTTGAAGGCTGCACAACTAATGACATTGTGCAAATCCTTTTACTACAAGAGAATGAACAGATAATTCTTACAGAAAAGGGTGAGTGCCCCTTATTAATTTTAATATATTGAAAAGAAGAGGGGTTGCTGATCTCATCTTCAGAAAAATCATTGCTCAGTGTTTGTGTTGCGTAAATCGATTCGTGTATTTGTAAAGGTGTTTTACTGTTAAAATTAAGCCGCCTTTATTCAGTACTATCAGATTTCACTAAACTGGGCCTGAATAGTTAGAGCACGGGAAAATCATTAGAGTCAAGTGGTTTTTTGGAGAGGTATCTCAATATCTAAGAACATACCTGCTTTACTGGTTACTTTCTCTAGCATGTACATTAAATGATGATGAAAGTTGGTGAAGGGAGTGCCAAGAGAGAGGGCAATATTAATCTGTAAAAATCAAAGTAAAGAAAATGCAACTAAGAATTCAAAAACTTTCACAACTTTCTTTGTATCCTATGAGGACAACTACAATGTACGAGAGATGGTCAGCCATTATTTGGGGGAGAAGTATCAATTGATGATCCCAAAGGCAATAACTTTTCCACTGCACTTTTTGTTATATGAGATAATAATAAAATAGAAAAAGACAACATCTATGTTTAACTGTTCAACAACACTATACCTCAGTCTATAATAGACATACCCAGTCTGCCACACACTCAAGAGGAGTCACACCATATCCTGCATACATAGCTGGATTGTTTAGAATACCTCTTGCAGCCATTACACCTAAAGTTAACAAAATTTAGTAGTTACGGTATTCACACCCTAACCTGCCTGTCACTGATGGTCAAATAAGGAATTAACTTCTAAAGAAACTGTGGTGTTACATCAGTGGGGGAGTGATATTCGAAAGTTTGGTTTTATAAATTGTGTTGCTTTTAGCTAGATTAGCCACTGTAGGGGGAATGAGAGGCTGACATTTCAGGGCTAGTCCTTCATCAGGATAAAGGGCTAGAACACTGTCCACTACGGAAAACTAGTAGTTTTCAAAATTAAGTGTAGTATTACAAGGTACCTTTGACACCAGTTTTTGCATGAACATTTTTGACATCAGAATCAGACTTGATATCACCATTGGCAACCACAGGGATGGACAGACTCTCTTTGATCTGAATTATGAGACAACATATTGTTATAAATGCTGTGGTATTACTGAATCATGAGTCTACGCGAGTCTGTAATCATGAACAGATAAAATACAATCGCCGGATGACAAGTATTAATAATAACAAACATAATTGGATGTATATTTGGCAAAAAAGCCTGTGACCACTTAAAATCAAAGGGATCAACATTTTTTAAATAGAAGTCACTATTCAATACCAATTTGATAGCATCCCAGTTTGCTGGTTCACCTCTTTGTCTTACTGTCCTTCCATGAACTGTTATCCATGAAACACCAGCCATTTCAGCCTGTCTACAGAGCTGTATGGTTTTTCTATAATAATCAAAATGGAAAATTACATTTTGTAAACTTAAATACAAGCTTTAAGGATGTGCTTAGTAACATAGGTTTGTCAAATAAATGGAAACAGAGAAGAAAAAGAACATTGAATGAACAGTTAATTCAAATCTTGCAGACACTTCCCACTTTTGTTATTATGATAAGTAAGAAAAAGACTTTTTGCACACCCAAAAAGCTATAAGAAAGCATAATTATTGATTGCTTTACTTTATATTGTCATGAATTCTGATCTTGATGGATACAGGAAGTCCCGGAACTCTTGAAACAGACTGCTTCACAATGTCCTGAATTAATTCTGGGCTGCTGATTAACTTTGCACCATAACCCTCTTGCATGGCCCACCTAAAAAGTACAAGCAGTGATTTTGTTACAAATAGTTATGGCTAGTCCTATGACTCATCATGTGAAAAATCATGAGTCGCTGTCCATAACCAATGAGTCCCAGTTCAAACAACAAGGAGTCCTGAATTGAAATTCTAGGGCCTTTATGTAACCAGACAGTTAACCTGACCTAAAACTCTTGATTGCAGTTTACAAAAATTAAAATAGTGTCCTTCTACATATTTAAAGCACAAGATAAATATGCATCTTTAAACAACAGCCACAGAAATCCCACGAACAGGATATTCTACCAAAAAATCTTCAAATTGATTGATTGTTCCTTGTTTCCTAGGGACGCATTTCATGAATATTATTATTATTATTGCGTCCTTAGCGATTTTTATGGGTTAGGGACGCAGAACGCAGAGGTAACAACATGACTGACAAATACAGAAAGTACAAATTAAGGAGGCCTTGTAAAGGCAACAATAGTACAACTAATAAAAATGAAAGTAATATAATAATTTGACTCATGTCTGTCTAAAAAATTCACCTCTGGGGACAGCCACAGTTAAGATCAACACCATCAACAAACCTAGTGAGAAAGAAACTTTTTAATTTCAGGATATCTCTACATGCAAGGAGATATGTTTATAATTATAATATTAATATCACTGTTCTAGGTTTAAGTCACATTTCTGTTATCAGTATAATCAAAGGCCAGGTTTTTTATGATGATGGTCATGCTTTCATATATGATTAGGCACAACCACAAGCAATTTTGCAACACTTTTGTTCACAAGGCAGTGAGTTAGCTGTGTTGAGTTACCCACAGGGATTTCCTGAAGCATGTAAATGGTGGGTTCTTGAATTCTCAATATCTTTCAGGAAAGATCTCCAATTTTGAAAATCTTTCAACCAAGGTGTTGAAATTCAAGAAGCTGTACACAAGATGTTGAAAATTCAACATCTTGTGGCAGTTAAGATCTGACCATATCAGTGATATCACTAAGATTGCTATTTTCCGATGAAAGTAGCCTTGGGCCACATTTGTAGTAACCGGGGAAAATCCCCAGCCCCTGCCTCTTAATGACAGCCCTACAATATGTTAACTTGCTGCGACAGGTCATGCAGGATAACTTACTAAATTTCTGGTCTCTTTTTATCACCAATGAAATAATGAACTTTTCATGGGACTTGCAAAGAGGGTAATGAGTAATTCTCTAAAAACTACTAGATTTGCTTGAACATTAAGCAAAGTGATTCTTGTATGTTAAAACATTTAAAAACTTTTGGTACAGTGATAATATAGATGCAATATGTCTGAGGTTTAACTTACGGGGCTACAATTTCAGCAGCATCAGCAAAATCCTTTGCATTGCTGGCAGCAAACTGAGCTACTAGAGGGCGATCACCTACAGAAAGAAGGGAATGAACAGCAAAGAACCAAAATGTGCTATGTCTCTATGGGGCCCCGATTATCTCTGGATTAAACGTGGCTGCTTCGATACAATACAAGTGTGTGTAGATTGTTGTTACCTTCAAGCCATCTTAACAGATGCACAACCTTTAGCAGGTTTACATTGCATTAGTGAGGAAAATCCACTAGCCTGGACAAACTCAAATAACACTGCGGTGGACTTGGGACTTTTGGATTTAATAATAAGGCATACTGGGACTGGACAACCATTTACATTGTATTGACTGCATTCAATAGGATTACTTACCAGTCTACAGAAATGAAGATTATATATTAAATTTTGATAATTTTTTTACAGAGCTTAATTATGTTACAAGTCAATCTTCATTTTACATACCTGAGTTTGTAGTGAATTCCATATCTCTAGCTTTGATGGACTTGACAAAGGAGTCCGAAATTATCATTGGAGTGAATGCCAAATCACATCCATACCTAGATGGATAAATCCCATAATGATAGGCAACCTTTAAAATTCATTACTGTTATCTACTTGAATGCCCAGGGGGAGGTTAATAATTGGGATGTGCCGCTTGATGGGGTTGCTTTATATTTAATGGGGTTGCACATTTTCAAGATTTCAGGGGTAAAAACATTCAAGTAAGTAGGGATTTAAAAATGGGAAGATTATTGGGTAGATGCGTAAACAGAAAGTGACTAAGTTGGGATTGTAAAAATTAAGCTTACACTTTCCCAAAAGTGACTAAATGGGGTCTGTGGTGTAGCGTCAGTTTGTGTCAAGGGAATAAGCTCTATAGTATGCATTTTTTGAACTGACTGTACGTGTTATGAATACTTATGTAAGTAGTGGTATTCAATGAGAGGAAATTATTCATTAACGGTCATTAGTAAGTTGTTTGTTTATAACCGGGCGTACTTAGGTACTTTACACTGTAATAGTGGGATAGGGGTTCTGAGAGGCCGGTAACACATACCAAGCAAAAAATTCACCCAATTGCCCCCGCCCCGGGGCTTGAAATGGTGAGTTCCGAACCTCTACATGCACATAGTAGGCAGGATGTTTTAATCGAATTATGATTTCAACATTTTCAATATCTAGAATTACAGTAAGTACCGACGTCGTAGCTTATCTCTAAACATTCGTTGTTTTTGATCAACGTATGACCCCACTGAAAAATGACAAAATTTTGATTTACCTTCTCACTAGCGTCCGAAAAGGAAGCCTGCAAATACAAAGATGCCATTTAGGATAATAGAGTCGGGTAACTTACTACCTGTCTTTACTATTTAGGAAACAAGAAATGCCAGTAATTTAAACGTCTTTTGTGTACTTACTTTGAATACCTTACCATTGGCGCACAGATCCGTACAACTTCTTTCTTCTCAAATAGTTCCAACGGTGTCAGAAAATCTTCACCTTCCCTTGTGTCCGCCATGTTGATTGTTTCCCACAATACACCTCCTACCTTCTCCGATCCAGGGCTCCACAGAAGGAAAATTTGGATGCGCAAATCGCTATTTTTGTGTGTGTTGTGCGCACTTCCTTCGACAGTGGACCGACAGCCGAACGACATTAGGAAAAGGCTATTTTAAGCTAGCGGAAAATGGACGACCTTCCAGTGGGATATTACAGGGTAGAGCTAAACAGAACTATTTGGGAAGTACCTGAAAAATACAAAGATCTCAGTCCCATTGGAACGGGTGCTTACGGACAAGTATGGTAAGTAAAATGCAGTTGCACTTCAAGAGACTACTTTTGTACAATTTGTCATTAAGACTCTAATAACCACAGCCCCAGTATTTACTTAAAGAATGTATACACAAGTATTAAACATATATGAAAATGAGCCACACGCACACTTGCTGTTTTTGTTTTTTACCTCGTTCAGGACTGTGTGCCAACACTGCTAGAATGCAGGTAATGATCGAACCTTTGACCGTGACTCACTACTTTCGAGAGGTTCGAGTTTATCTGCATTCTAGTTATCTTCTTTGTTTGTGTTACTGCATCAGTAACTAGATTTCGCTGTAATTGTTATTTCGTTGTAGGATCTTGTGTTTCTAGAGCAACGCCTCACCGAGAAAATATGATGACATATTTGATTTTTCCTTGTAACCACAATAGATTTTAAGATAATTCATATCTTGATCCCCCACATAAACTTTTCAACTATTACTGTGAAATGATTTGCCAGTGATATACTACAGTTCCTTTAGATTCATTCTAAATGAAAGTTGAAAAATTGATTCCCTGGTTGGGAAACAGATCGGACCTTGGGACAGCGATCTGTGAACAGGATGAGGCACGAGACTACAAATCAGACTTGTTACACCTTTCACTATTGACAAAAGTGTCAACCTGCATAGTTAGGTCAAGAATTTCTGTAGAAAATGTTTTGAATTTAGTGGTATGATATCAACTAAAAAGGATGCTAGGATTTCCACATAGCCTTATGCATATTTCCTCTTATGTATTTAATACTTTCATATAGCAGAATGCAAAGAAATTTGGTTTAATAGCTAACTTGTAAAAAGTTCTTGACCAGCAGGATTGATTAAAGTTCTTCTGTAAACTGATTTTCCGCCTAAAACGTATCCATGCCCATCAGCCAAGTTAGAACAGAATTCATCAAGGGTGGCACAGTTGATTGGTGCGCGGCCTACGGTGCGTGAGGTCCCGAGTTCAATCCGCGGTGACATCACATCCTTACTTCAACTTCTCTCCTTTCTGTGTAGCTTTGACTAGCTTTAAACACCCTTAAAATGGAGCATCAATGGAGAGAGGGGGTAAAATGAACGCTCCGTCAACCTCAAGTTTATCAGTTATTATTACAGTCATGAGTTATCGACATAATATGTGGTTGCTTTACCTTTTTTTACCTTTTATTAGCCATAGCAAAATCCACTAGCCTCAGGCTATCCGTCAGACACAAATTTTTTTGCACTCTGATAGAGTCAGTATTACAATGTTACTAGCCAGCTGTAATGTAGCAATATATATTCCATGAAATCAAACTTTTCCATTCAAAACAGAAAAGGGGTGACCTAATACCTCCTTTACAAGAAAATAGGCCACTTCTGAGTTCCAAAAACCCTCACTTTCAAAATGAGGCCAAGTGCACAACCTTTCTTGTCAAAATGAGTTTTGTTTGCAAGTGAATGAAAAATCGTTGCCGCATCGAAGACTGCGCACTTAACCTTGTTTTGATACAAAGGTCTGGGGGAACTCAGAAATGGCCTATTGATACCAACTAGGTAAATGGTGAAGCAGCTTGTAAGATGTTTGTATTGAAAGACAATTATTGCAACTTATTATTTTTTCTGTTATAAACTCAAAGCTCAGCAACAAATGTTGAAACTGGAGAGCAGGTTGCTATCAAAAAGTTATCTCGCCCATTCCAGACTACCATGCATGCAAAGAGGTCCTTCAGAGAATTGAAACTTTTACGCCATATGAACCATGAAAATGTAAGTGAATAGTTACTATATATATGAATGCAGAAATCACTTAACACTTGAGATGATAAAACTATAAAATATTTTTACATAGTGTATTAATAGTGAGCTGTATGTAGCTTACTTGTAATGTGTAGATTCACCCAAGGCTAAAAAAGAAGCTTCCGTTAATAATTTATAATTTACTTCAAACAATAAACTTGTTACCGTCACAAAGTACTGAATCCACTTGGAGTTGAGTCCGCGATCAATTGAAAACTAATAACCTGTCAGCGGATAACTTACCAGTAAAAGAAAAACAGGTAGCCTCGATGGGTGGACACTTAAGTCTGTGATATGGTCATTTGATACTGGTCAGCAGATACCCTGTTTTGACAGCTGTCAATATTGATCACAACATGGATGTGCAATATCAGGCTGTTGGCTCCTATACTAGCTAGAAAGTGTGAGATTTTATATTGGTTGCCCTGTGGTGCAGACAGATGGGTGGATGATCACATGACTACCAAAATTTCTTGGATGGATAAATAACCAAATTTTCTTAGCTATGGGGCTCCGCTTGAAGCACATGCATGGAGCTCCATTATAGAACACATAGAGCAGTATTTGACCAATAGATAGTCACAAGTCCAGTTTCAGTTTCAAATATTGCCTTGATTGTTGTCCATTGCTATCAGAAATTTACTGTTACTGATATCTTGCAGCAGATATAGCCTAGTGCAGACTTTGTAAATGCAAATATCTAGTAGGCTGGCATTAAGATGATAAGTTAAGGGGTTGGTTTTTTAAGAACTGTGGTGTTGTGTTGGTCACCATTGGAAGTTGTAGAAGCTGATGTTTCTAGCACTTGTCCCTCATCAGAATGATACAAGCATGGCCAATAATATACCTTATCAACTTGGTTTATAAAACCAAATATTTACAATGAGATGACAGCTTTGCGTGAAAGAAACCAATCTTGCTCAATTAACTGGAATGGTCAGGCCGGGGGTATAGTTAACTTTGTGAGGAACGTTTTTACATTTTCTACCAACCTGCAGACAGTTTTCCATGAGCACCAAGTTTGCTAAGTAGACATTATTGAGTAAAATTTTTGTAGCCTTATGGATCTGTCATTCAAAATAAAGCATTATCTAGCAATAACCCACCCTGTTATCTCCTTACAGGTCATTGGTTTACTTGATGTATTTACTCCAGACACATCACTTGATGCATTTAAGGATGTGTAAGTGTAAAGTTGAGGATACCAAATACAGTGAAACCCCGTTAATGCGACCACCGTTGGGCCACAAAATCCTGGTCGTAATAACAAGGTGGTCGCATTAACGGGGTCCTCAAAATAATAAAATAACTCAATGGTTTTTACGTTTGGTTTGAAAGAAAATGGCCGTAATAACGAGGTGATCTTATAAACGGGGTGGTTTTAAGGCGGGGTTCCACTGTAAGATCTTTATCCTGTCACTTAAAACTATTTTACATCATTCCAGTCATCAGTAGTATTTTTTCTAACAAGATTTTTGCTGCAACTTCAATTATCATTATTTGATATTTAAAATACTTGTTATTAATTAAGTACAAACTTTTATCAACATTTAAGGTATCTGCACCGGCAAATTTTCAACATTTTTTTTAGCTCAAAATCTATCAGCAGTAAGTTTAGGTCATGTAATATGCATATCTAGTCTTTTTTTGTAATTATATCATTGCATTCAAGAAATAATCTGCTGTAAAGTTGCTCCATTTACCGGAAGTTGAAAGAGAAATTTTAACTTCCATTTCTATGGAACGTGACCGCGGGGCCAGTGGAAGAGAAATTTGACTCTCGTGCCTTTCCTGTGAGCGCTACTATGCTGATCATGTTACTGTTTTCATTGTAATCGCTAGATACATGGTAACAGCTCTCATGGGGGCAGATTTGAACAGCATTCTTAAATGTCAAAAGCTGACCGATGAACATGTCCAGTTCCTCGTGTACCAGATTTTAAGAGGACTTAAGGTATGTAACATAAAAACATGTAGGAATCCTTTACAGCTTAAGCCACAAGAGCTAAAAAAGGCCATCAAGAATTTTATTTGTTGGCAAACAAACGTGACAGCCCTTTGGTTATTTACGTGCTAAAATTGAAATAATATTGGCAGCAGTAAATCAGTTAGAAATCATCATTTTTTGCTAAATCATCTCACTGTTTTAGTACACTAAAACAACTGTTCACCTCAGTGTCTGTGGCTAATGGTGGATATTTACCTCGTAACATCATGGCTCGGAAAATTTCCGTCACTAGCCACCTCTACTTAAGTGAATAATAATTATTCACTGAAGTGGAGGTGGTTAGTGGTGTTATTTATCAACTCAGTTGATAAAACCAAATTCTACAAACACAACATTGCAGTTTCCTTAGAAAGCAAGCCCTTCATTGAAATATTTAACATTGTGTTTATTTGTTTCAGTATGTACATTCAGCAGGAGTCATTCATAGGGTAAGAAAATTCATAACTATTGCATTGTTTTACAGTAACAGAAACCATTTGGGTTTAAAACCAGCAATAGTGTTTATGACTGTGAAAGGTTTGAACCCAGGAGTCATTTCAAAAGTAGGTTGAGTTTGATCGTCCGGGTGAATGTAGTCCTGAATAGGACTGTTGTTGTTGACTGACGTTTCGACAACCTGTGCGGTAGTCATCTTCTGAGTCAAAGTGAGTTGTATCATGTCAGTTGATGGTATTATACTCTGGTTATTGATCTGATTGGTCAATTATGTGGCGATGTTATTGGTCGTCTGTCAGTTAAGCTGTGATGTTATTGGCTGTGAAGACTCGTAATCAGTAATAGTGTTTATGTCGCTTTTCCATCCTTTATCTGTTTTTAGGTTTTTTCAGTTCACTGTGAATAACCAGGTTAACCCTTTAAGTCCCAATAGTGACCAAGATCAATTTTCTCCTAACAATATCCATACACTGTCAAGAGATAAGTTATGAGAATAAATAAAATGATCACCCAAGTAAAAATGCCTTGATCTTTTATCAAATTCTCTCAACTCATTCTTGAAGGAAATGTATGGAGATCAGTTTGGAGAATTTGTATGTGGATACTGGGGCTTAAAGGGTTAAAGAAATAAGTACAGCCCTTTCATCCAAGTCATCAATTTTATTTGGATTTTGGATTTTTTATGTTATCTTACTGTCTTATAAGGACTTGAAACCAAGCAACATAGCTGTTAATGAAGATTGTGAATTAAAGGTGAGTTGTTTTTTCTGCATGTTTATTAATATCCATGTTGGATTTGAGGTCTCCTCTTGCCATAAAAAGATATTTTGGCACATTACTACCTCAATGATTAAAATAGAGCAACAGGAAAATATTGATGCAATTACTCAAAGTATATTCCTTATTGTAACACATCAGGAAAAAGATGTTGACGCATTTTTGTGCATTGTTAAGATAATCTTAAATTTTAAGGTTAATAATTATTAAAATCACCAAGTTTTTATTGGTAGATTCTGGACTTTGGTCTTGCAAGGATGGCAGAAGAGGAGATGACTGGATACGTAGCCACACGCTGGTACAGGGCACCTGAGATCATGCTTAACTGGATGCACTACAACAAAACGGGTTTGCTGCATTCATTTTGTCTTAATTTACTGTTGTCCTAAAATTGTTTGTGAAATATAAAGATAATGACTTCAAGCTAATAATGTTTTTAAACTATTTTGACAGTGGACGTTTGGTCTGTTGGATGTATTATGGCTGAGCTGTTGACCTCCAAGACATTGTTTCCTGGAAATGATCATATCCTTTTACCCAACAGACTGACCAGGGATCTTCTAAAGTTGGGGAAAGGGTGAAAAAATCGCGTGGAGAGGGAAGTGAAAGGGTTAGGGGTTAGGGTTAGGGTTAGGGGTTAGGGGTTAGGGGTTAGGGTTAGGGTTAGGGTTTTATCCTCATGCAAATAAAATTGATTTTCACAAGTTTTTGCACTTGTAAGCCTCATTTGAAAAGTAATAGTTTTTGGAACTCAGAAATGGCCCATGGTCAGTAAAAACATGGCAAACTGAAGGAATAGTAGTTAGCAAAAATGCGACCATTCTAAATGCATATGTGTAATTAACTGAGTTAGCCCCTATAAAAATCAAAAGGCTGCCGATATGTTTATGCTCAAAATCTGAAATTTTCCTGGATGTTGCAAGCAGGAACCTGTACAAAATCCTCCAAATCAGAAATTAGCTCTCCTGCTTTGAACGCAATGAAAAATGGTTCTAAAATTTTTTAGATTATTCAAAGTTAAAGCAGTATTCCAGATGTGGAAACTGATTAAACTGTGGAAAACTGCTGCTTAGTTTGACTTGAGGCTATGCTGTGGTAGTTGTTGGTTGTTTATCTTAACTTTACAAAAATATTGATCAATTGACACGGATAATGAAGCTTGTTGGCAAACCAGATCAAGAGTTTTTGGACAAAATTAGCAGTGATTCTGTAAGTACAGCCTATGTTTTGTTTTTATTTGTCTTGAAAAAATTTTGTGGAAATTTTAACGTGTCTTATATGTACAGGATAGAAAGAAAACACCTTTGCATGGAAGTATAAATTTTATAATTTTATTGAAATATCATTACTCATTTTTTATGCTCATTGGCTCAGTTTGTCTTACTTTTAATTAGTAATAGTTGAATACGTAGAGAAGGGATTATTTATACCACAAAAACAAAAATATGTTTTCTGTTTGCAGTAAATAGTTCAAATAACTATTATATTATTTTATTTATAGTTATTATATTCCCTTCATACTATTGAAAATCAGTGCTTTGAAAATCAACCAGTGCCGTTTTCTTTCAAGTAAAATATATTTTAATCTCAATTTTTGTGTCTTGACAGGCAAGAAATTATATACTGTCAATGCCCGAGTATGAAAAGAAACCTTTCTCAGATGTCTTTCTTCACGCTAACCCTCAAGGTAACTAAATTGTTTAGCATTGACTAAAGAATAGTCAATATCTTCATCATACTGAAAATCTTCTTAGAAATAAATATTAATTTTCATGAAAGGTTAATGTGTTCCTTTTCACACAAGAATGTTTTCCATCTCAAACAATAATATCACTTTTTTTATAAGATAAACCATTATAATAAAACATAAAATAGCCTGTTCCTGGACACTAGCTATTTCCTATGGGACAGATCTCATACCACTTTTTTGTTTGTTTGTTTATTTGTTTGTTCAATCAGCTGTAGATCTGCTGGAGAAAATGCTTCTTCTTGATACGGACAATAGACTGACTGCAGAAGAAGCCCTTGCTCATCCTTACCTTACTACTTATGCTGACCCAGATGATGAGGTGCAGACTTACACTCCATCTGCTTCTAAATTTTCCTCAATGTTACCTTAAGAAATCTGTCTTTGATCTGATAGCACTAGAAACTTAGGTTATTACTTATTTGCTGTACCCTGTGCAAGTATATCCTATGTGAGAGCTTTGCAAACTATTAGATTTGGATTAAGATTAGAAAATTACAGAAGTTAATCGTGTTCTTTGAGCCCATTCTGTTTTCCATTCTTTCTTCGTGGGGCCGGGGGTCAATGAACAGAATTTGATGTACCACAGTAAGATCTAGTAACACTATTGTACTTGTTTGATCGTGGTTCAACAAGCTGTGCTGCTGTTGGATGAACTTTTGATGGTGTAACCTAGTTTTAATATAAACAATACCAACAACAAATGAGTCAAATGAGTGATACATTGAATATTTCAAGAATACAGACACTCATCATTGACTGTTTATGTACCACAGATCCCTCCCTTTAGTTTTACCTTTTGATTCACTGAGTTCAGTCAGTACACAGCAGTTAACTGAACTGAAGTTTTGCAAATTAAAAATTCTTCCTACAGCCAACATGTGAGCCATTTGATGAAGTTCAATTTGAAGCTAAGGATTGGCCAATAGATAAATGGAGAGGTACACTGTTCTGTCGTAATTTTACCTGTGTTTGTAAATGACCTGAAGTCAAGTACGTTCCATGGTGAGATTTTAGGAGACATGCCTTCCCGTTAGTTCCTTCTTCAGGAGTCACCATGGATTGTGGAAACTCACTGATGGTGGAGGGGCTATACATGTAGCTGGGAGGAACCTGTTCCCAGGGATATCTCAACACTAGGGGTGGGAATGAAGGTGTTCTTTACCTCAATCCCCTGCCCCTCTAATCCCCAGTGGGATAGTAGTTCTGCCTCTGTAATCATTCTTACATCATTTTTTTTTTCTTTTTTGAAGAACTATGTTATAAAGAAATTCTTGACTTTAGAGCGAAGAAAGAAGAGGAGGCCATGCAGACTGGCTAATGAGAGTGAACGACATTAAGACAAGAACTTGGTTTTTTAAATTATCTCTACCATTCTAGTATCAGAGATGTCTTTTAAAGAAAAGTTGCTAAGATTATTGCCGCTTGGTACCTTTTGCCCTCCAAACACCTGAAAAATTTTTAAGTCACTGAAAATATTGAAAACTGTCAAGTACATGTAAGACTATACTATTAGATATCATACTTTCAGCAAACCTAAATTTCATTCATGGAAAATCAACAACTTACATTGTTACTTAATTTATCACTCCACAGGTATTTTAAGTTTGTCATGTAATTGATGTAAAATACATTGTATCAAAAACTGTAGAAGAGTACAAAAGAAATGCAGGAAAATCTTTAATGGCTGAGCTGCATTTGCCTATGGTTAAAACACTTCAGCCCATCTTTTTAAGTTCTGTCAATTTCTAGAAAGGGCGATTTCATCAAGACAAGGGCATGCTTTTGTTATTGTGTCCCTGCATGTTGTCAGTAAAAGACTTGCTGTCCCAATTCTGAGTTAGAGCATGCAAAGACGTACTGCCTGTTCTGTTTGATTGAATGCGTGTATAAATTAAAGAACTAAGAAATACCAAGCTAGTAAAACTATGCACTTCCAACTTGTCAAAGTAAAGTGTAAAGTTTGTATACTGTAAAAGGAGTGTTAAAGTATTAAAGGTGCGTATTGCCATGTGTGTGAATGTTGTAATTTTATGGAAGATTAAGACAAGGAGGTGTATGGGCATCCATGGTCTTGAATTTTCAAGATCTTGCTGGCAAAATCTTAAGTTTTCAACACCTTTCCAGCGGGATCTTGAATTTTCAGTAATTATACCCATACTATGTTATTTCTGAGTTATACTCTCTTATGAGACCAGCGCTATAATTTCTTTTATGCGGGTTACTAAGGTTGATAGATGCTATCCCCACCCTTTAGACCATTAGAGTGTTTGTCTTTTTCTGCTGCCAAGCAACTTTCTTGCAGTCAAATAACACCAACTACAACCTGTGTAAAGCTACCTCTCCCCTAAAAACTCAGATTCCCTTGAAGGGGGTGGGAGTAGGTGGGGGGGCTGCACACTGGCTACTGCAATTTACTTGATCCTCTGTCATTGACCTTGTTAACATTATCCTACCCAAAGTAAATATGGGGAAGGAAAGTTGTGGCACCAACTTTTTTAACATCACCAATCATCAATCAAATTATCCAACTAATGAGTTGTGGTCCATGATAACAATCCTGGACATTGGTACATTATCAATAATCTTTGTCAAAGGTAGCGCTTATACAATGGCTTGGTAAATTTAGACCCTGGATCCAAAAATTACCAGGCACAGAGCAAGTATTATCTTGACAGCAGGACTTTGCTGAAAATTCAACATCTTGCCAGCAAGATGTTAAAAAATTAAGTTTCCGAATTTTTAAGATTTTGCAACTCACCATATTGAAACCCTATACAGCCGGGAATCTCTTTTTTATTCGGTGCATTTGACATTACGGAAAATTCTGTTTTTAGATAACAGATTCTGAAACCGGAAGTGGCTTGATAAATTATTGGCCCTGGCACTGCCCAGTTCTTTTCAGCGAATTTTTTCCGCCTTTTCTTCTGGCAGAAAGAAGCTGGGTACCAGAGATAAAAAGTGAATCAAAGATGGCGGACCCATGTTGCACCATAGCGTGTTGAGAAAATAATTTTTTCCTCCTGCATGGCCGACTAGTACGAGAACGATGTCAGCAACATTAAAACCATACACCAGTGACGACGACTTCCGTATTTTAAAGGGCGAACACGGAAAGATTAACTGGAAAGAATCTCGACTTAAAAGCTCAAGATTTTATTCAACTGTGGTTTCTATTTTAAGATTTTTACAATGGTTTCTTGGCATTCTTTTCTTTGGGCCAGTTCAACGTCTGTGGAGCCCTTCCCACATCATTTTGCCGTCAGCAAGTGTAACAGACAATAAGCCAAAAATGTCCCGAATTTTCGTACTGGATAGTGTTTCATCCTGTGATAACCTTCTAAAGTCGTACCGTGCACAGTATCCTTTTAAGATGAATTTTGTTGGGCTAGACTGTGAGTGGGTGAACAAGAAAGGCCAGAAAAGCGCTCCTGTTGCTTTGCTTCAAATTGCAACTCCCCTTTGTGACTGTTTTCTTATTCGTTTGTGTAAAATGGGGAATCATCTACCACAAACTGTAAGAGATATCTTGGAAGATAAGAACGTCCTTAAATTTGGTGTTGGTATACAAGACGATGCAAAGAAGCTTTCAGGGATGTTTGGCATGGCTGTGCTAGGCTGCGTGGATCTCAGGCATGTAGTACAGAGGTGCCGATTGGATCATACTGGCGAGCGAAGGTACCTTATCTGTAGTCATACCTGCCTCTGTTGTCATGGCAGCTGATCAGTTTACCATGATAAGCACCCTCCCTCCTTGGGTGGTCATTTGCGGGAGGTTTGACCACATGAAAGAAATTTTCAACTCTTTGTTGCAATGCTTCAAAGCACCAAAGTAACAGTAAATTTATAACAATTCCTGAGAGACCAGACTTGAACCAGTCTCAAAACAAGTTTCTTATTGCATTTTTCTTGAAATGCTTGTCATTTCAGTAAAGAAGTATTTTGAGTTTGGAAGTCAAAGGGAAAGATAAATATTCACTGCATTTTTGGTTTTGTTTTACAGTAGTCACAAGATGAGCCTTGATGCCTTAGCCAAGAGAATACTAGGTGTTGCAATGGATAAATCGTGGAGGATTCGATGTAGCAATTGGGAAGCAGAGCAGCTCAACACAAGACAGATTGAATATGCTATGAATGATGCTTTAGTTGCAAGCCACATTTTTCTAAGACTAATCAAATTGAAGGACGAAGAAAGAAAAGTTAGCAGAACTTCTGACATTTTTGAGGATTGTTCTGAAAAGAAATATCAAGTTATTCAAAATGGTGATTTGATGTATGCAGATTATTTTAACCACAGGGTCAGTGAAAATGAAACTCATTCTCAGTTAAATGAATTTGATGCACTTGTTGATGAGACATCTTCTGTTGACAAGGATTTGGCAACTAGCAGTGAAAGCCCTGACTGTCATGTAGTAGGAAGAGAAACTAACATTGCACTTGCCATTGAAGCAATTAATAACCTTGAATCACAAGAAACAGAGGACAAAGAAAAATATGACATAGAGAGCATGAGTCATGAAAAATCAAGTAAGGTTAATGTAGTCAGCAGTCTTGAGAGCCATCCTAGAGAAGATGATTTTACATTTTGTGGTGATTTTGTACCAGATGCTGTTGACTGCACCACTGTCCGTACTTTTGACGAGGAGGACATTTCTTTTGATGGTTATGAAGTCATAGCAGACCTAAATAAGATGGTATCTGAAGGAGGAGAAGGCTACTTTCCCAGAGAAGAAGTCATCAAACTTTTGCAGGACACGTCCTTTTGCCAAAGAGCACATTCTCTCTGTCAGGGAGTGACTGATCTTGCATTCAAGCATAAAAAAGGGAAGGTTACAACTAAGAGGAATACTAAGGAGAATGACGAGGCAAATGAATATCCTTCAATTGCAACTGATAAAAAGGCTTACAAGGGAATAAGAACTGTGAGAAAATCACCCCTTTACATGAATTGTATGTTAGCAGCCCCAGATGGTTCAAAGCTTTGCACTCTGAGTCGTAAAAAGGCAGATTGGTACATTGAAAAGGAACTAGGTGGGAAAATCTATCAGTACTTATCTTACAAAGCATTAGTTTAATCTGTGTTTATTTCTAAGTAACAACTGCATAACTAACTAATATTGCTTGGTATCTAACCCCCCCAGAACAGACTCGCAACACCATTGGATTCAAGCGGCTTATAAATAATTTTATCTTACACATACAGATAATGATTTATTTTACCCTAATATACATTTAATACAATACCTAAGGCCCATCAAAAGAGTAAATCACAAAATCATCATCATATTATTGGTTTCCTAACTAGTCTGTATTAAATCGTACACTAAGGTTATCAATGTATTTATTTCACGATTACATATTCACTGAACTCTGCTGCTGTTACATGCCATTAACTTTCATTGTAAGAGCTTATTGATTATAGGTACACAGGTCAAAACAACAGGAGAGAACCTTTAAAAATATTTATTAGAGTCTTTTTGACAGATAGGATTCCTCATTTCTTGTTTGAATTGTTAAATAGATTAGCATACATGCGTCATACAGCTGTGTAACTGTAGAACAACCATTAAAAATGATCTACTTTTTTGTAGGGGAACTAACTGGTCTTGACCCGTACACTGTCCAGCTCAAATTTGAACCATCAGGAAGGCCAGGATCAGAAGACTCATATTACCTTAATTTCAAGGACAACATTTGTGTTGTTTGTGGAAGAGATGATAGTTACTTAAGGAAAAACGTCGTGCCGCATGAATACCGTCGTTATTTCCCATCCTTCATGAAGGACCGTCACTCACATGATATCCTCTTATTGTGTTCTGAGTGCCACTCTTTATCAAACTGCTATGATTCAAAACTGCGAGCAGAGCTGTCAGAAAAGTATAATGCTCCACTAGGTAAGGGTTTCTGGGTAAGGTATACAGACAACTCTCTCTAAGACTAACACCTTTGGGACCTGACCAGCACTAAGAGTCTATCTTAGAGAGATGTCCATCAATAAAGAGAGTAAAGGAAGGCAGGGTCCAACCATAAATGACCATTTTACTTAGGTGTCCATCTGATACAGGTGTCCATTAAGAGAGAGTTCACTGTATGTCATTCAACCAGAGGGCTCTATTATAGCATTACACTCTACCTTTTTAAATTTTACCACCTTCTCCTTAATTTTGTATTAACTGGCAGTTGGCATTGCCCAGGTAAAGTTGCAAGCCTAACTACTGTAGGATGAACCCAACCTAGCTCATGCACAGATGCCCCCTCCCCTAAAAAAGAGGGGGTGTCTGTACACAGGAAAGGTCCAAACTGGCCTAAGCTAACTGAAGGTGACAGGAACTTGGCNGGCTCTATTATAGCATTACACTCTACCTTTTTAAATTTTACCACCTTCTCCTTAATTTTGTATTAACTGGCAGTTGGCATTGCCCAGGTAAAGTTGCAAGCCTAACTACTGTAGGATGAACCCAACCTAGCTCATGCACAGATGCCCCCTCCCCTAAAAAAGAGAGGGTGTCTGTACACAGGAAAGGTCCAAACTGGCCTAAGCTAACTGAAGGTGACAGGAACTTGGCCTGATATTAAGAGACTTACTTAAAACCTGTAGCACCCAACTCATTGACACAGTCATGAGTTAACACAGTTTAATTCTATGCTTAGAACATACTAAAATGTTACCAATCCTTTTGTCATATTTAATCACTTTAATTTTGACCTTTCCTTTAAGGAAACGCCACCGTTGCTCGTCTTACCAACGATTCAGAACTGAGCAAAGTCAAGTCCGCTGCAAAGGCCTTAAACTATGCATATGACAGGCTCCCTGAGGAAAGGCGTGAAACCTTATTAACCTGTGTTAAGAATTACTTCAATGTTCAGGTTGTTACCCAAGAAATGATCTCCCAAGCTGTAGTCATGGAAACAGCAAAGGAAAATCCCAATTTTGTGTCTCATGGACATGAAGTGGTGAGAAAGATTCGCGAGGAAGGACAATTGCTCGAGTTTGAGAAAATGTGGCGGAAACACTTTATCGATACAATGCGCCCGCAGTACCTTCCGCCTTTGTGGTCAGTAGACCATCGTCACGAAACATTAAAGGAAAAACTTGAGAACAAAGTCGACAGCTGAATCGGTTCCTGAATTTTAAAATACCTTAACGAGACAGACGTTAAAATTAACGCAACGTTTCTTTTTATTAGTTTAACAGAGAGTTCTTCTAAGAGAACAGAAAGATATCAGAAATGTGACAAGACATCGGTTTGCATAATTGTCGATTATTCGAACGATTGTTAGAACGAAACAAACCTTAAATGAATGTTGTTCATTTTGGCTAAGATTACTAGAACGCTAAAGGCGTGGGGTAAAAGAATAAAAAGTATGTATTTTGCAAAGTAGTGTTTGCTTTTTCGCTTTTTTAATGAAAATAAAAAGAAGTAAAAAATCGCCGGTTTGTTCACAAGACGAATAAGATAGAAAAATAAACGAGGCTGTTATGAATTTTGAAATCCTCGAGGTGATTCGTGTGGACTGCATTACGCCTCCCAATAAATAGTTTCACTTGTTCGGGGTCAAAAAGTTGCAGTATATAAGTACCGGCTTAGTCACGTGACTGCCTTTCCATAGCTGAGTACTGAATAATGGCAAAATGTATTCACAAGTAAAATGTTGTTTAACAATTTCTGTGTATAAAGTATATACGTATTGATGTCTTCAGAACATGCCAGGTTCGCCTCTCCAAAGTAGCTAGAACAAACATGAGTGGCTATCAGTTAGAAAAATGAAGTATATAAATGAACGTTAAACAGGACATTTTTAAACGTAACGCTTTATATTGTACATCATTTAGTACCAAACCGGTCCACAAGAGGCAGCAGATACGGTCACGTGTTATGTGGATTGAAAAAACGCTGTACATTGATCTATTGTGTCTTCGAACATGGCGAGTGAGACGCTACAAAACCGTTTTTCTCTCGCCTCACCTGACGCTCGCAGGGGTGTGTAAGTATGGCACGCCCCTTTACGTGTGGGAGAATTTTACGCCGGTGCTTCTTTCCTTACGAGCAGAAGTTTGAGGAAAACCCACTTTTTCCAGTCTATTACCTTTTTTACTAGAGCGAAGTTATTAATTTGAAAAGTTCCCTCACCTCATTTTCAATCATAGTTTCTGGTTCTTCGTTATCATCAAAAACAAGGAGGCCGGACAGACCACTGCAATTGAAGGAAAAAACACGTGAGATTCTTACAACTCTGCCATTAAATGTTGAATAGATCTTCTTTTTTCAGAGCGTGAAAAAGTCAAATATTGCAACATTAAAAAAAAAATGTTCAGAAATAAGTTTATTGCAAAAGTGGACGGCCACATAATTCTATGGCACCTGGTAAGCTCGTCAATGTCATCTTGACTTGCCAAAGCCTCCAACTCTTCTGGGTGATCATTAGTGGATTCATTTTCAGCAAACTGTTCTGATTCCTTATGAAGCTTCTCCAGTACTTCACCGTAGTACTTAATAGGACCACCAGATGAACTTTGATCTTGAATCATCTACAATTATTAAGATAGCAATATTAAAATTACCCGCCAATAGAGGGGGAAGCAAGGGTGAGAGAGGTATAATAATTTCCAATCACAATGAGCCTTATTTACCTGTAGTACAAAAACACTTGCATGGCGAGTAAACGGTTTGGAGTTGGTTTGAAAACTTTTTTAACTTTTGAGATCCTTATTAAAAGGCGTTTTAGATATCCCAAGATAAAACCAAAATTTGTCGTAAAGATTGTTCATATAATTGCACATACATTTTGTTATAAACTGTTATGAGCTTTTTAGCTCACTAGCTGCTACGTGGGTAAATAAAGGATTGATTGATTGATTGATGACAGTGGATCGAAGTATTAAGAGCAACCGTAAAATCTCATTCATTATGTAAACGAAGGAACTCATCCTTTTTTTCCCGCAAAAGGAAGCACAACACAACCTCGGCTACTATTTCCGGTGGCAGTGATCGCTTTTCTCTTTCTTTGTCCACAATGAGCTCCTTTGCCACACCTATCTCTTCCTGCAATGAAGGTCTCCGTTTTCCTGTCGACGCAAACTGTTCCTTAACTGCACGGCATTTTTCCTTGGATCTTTCAATACTCTGTTTATAATCCCACTCTGGAGTGACAACCAAACGAGCAATTACCAACTCATCTGCAAAGGACATCCGACGACCGTTTGGAACCGAATCAGGTTCTGTGCCGCAGCAGTGCTTTATGACACGGCGCCTCTCAGATGCCTTTGTTTCAAAGTGTCTGTTCTTGCTATGCCCATCAATAATGTTCTTGGCTATCCATA